TACACAAGAAACGTGAGAAAAGGCACACCAAGGTACATCATAATCAAACTGCTTAAAATCAATGAAGAAAAAAATTAACATTTCATCCAAAGGCACAAAGGTAAGAATGATAGCACAATTCTTGTCAGAAACAACGCAAGCCACAAGACAGTGTAGCAGTACCTTATAAAAACAAAGTGTATTAAATCTACACCCATATAATTACTTTCAAAATATTAAGGTGAAATAAAGACTTATTCAGGCATACAAAAGCTGACAGAATTTATTATCAGCAAACTTATAATAAAAAAGTATTGAAGTTCTTCATGCAGAAGGAAAATGATACCAGAGAAATCTAGATCTATACAAAGAATCGAAGAGCACTAGAAAAGATAACAATGTAGGTAAATACCTAAAATTAAAAATTTTTAAACCTTTTAAAAGTAATTGACTATTTAAGGCAAAATTTAAAAATATATATTGAGTTTATAACAAACTTAGAAGTAAAATATATGATAACAGCAGCACGAAGGCAGAGAGGGAGAAAATGGAAGTACACCATATTGTTTCTTATACCAGAGTTGCCAAATAGAAAAATAATGCCACATATGTAATTTACAGTTTCTAACAGCCATATTAAAAAGTAAAGCTTTTGAAATCTTTGAAACCAAATGTGGATTTTATATCTTGACTCAAAGGCTAACTTTTGATAGGAAATACTTGATCTATTTTAGGCTTCATAAAATGTATGGTAAAATACAGATCCCTATATCCAAGTTGTTCCAAATATACTTTGGTTTTCTGATAACTGAATAAGTTACGAATTTTTAACTTTAACTTAAAATAAACTAAAATTAAAAGCTGTTTCTCCATGGCACTAGCCACATTTCAAGTGCTGAAAAGGAAAGTGCAGTTTATATGTGATATGCTTCAAAGTAGATGAACTTCAAAACGCTATTTTAACTCCTAAAGCAACCAATGAAAAAAAATGTAATGACGGAGTATGCCCATGGAAGTGCCAGTGAACTTGCTGGGAACTGATTGGAGATGCCTCGGAAACTTACCATGAAGTTCCCTGCAGGGGAACCACTGAAACTACACTGGCGGTGAGCCCCAGTAAGTCTTCTTCGGTGACTGAGCATCACAGGAGCAAAAAGGAAGAAAAGCACACTAGAATAGAATGAGAATCTCTTCTTCTTTCATCAGTGTCCCTCTAAGGCCTTCTACTGACAAAGCTTACCATGCCACCTGGTAAAAGAGAAGTGTTTACAGGGTCCACAGTACCAATATCACAAAGTAGGTTGATGAAGGGTGCATTTGGAGCTTAAAGCTATTAGTATTTCTAATCAATGTTGTAGGAGATCCTATATAATGTAGTAAGACAAGAAAAAGAAATAAAGATTTGAAGTGAATGCCATTATTCAGTTAATAGTGTTCTATTCTAAGAAAACCCCACATCATCTACAAATTGGAATTAATCTACAAAGTTGTTAGATGTGATTAATATATAAAATCAATTACATTTCTATACCATAGCAACAATTTGGAAAACTTTAAATAAAACAATTTAAAATATGGCATGCTCAGAAAATATTGAGTCATGTTGAAACTCTAAAAAGTGTATTAAATTTTGCCATGTTTAGATAATGGCTTTAAAAAACATGTTAACCATAACTGAAAGGCAACAAGAGGGATCCCTCGAAAAGTTTTCAACAGATTTAAAACATTCTATTTTTAAACAACAGGCACTTCTGAGCATTAGACATTGAATTTCCTAAACTGCCTACTGTTTCCAAATTAAAATGTTTGTGCATTAACTACTGAGCATTCCAAATTACCTATCGGTGGGTTGCCCCAATCAACATTTTAGTTCTGATAGGGCTGTACAGCAGAGCTTGCCAGCACAATTATTTGAAATTTTAAATTCCTAACAGAATGAAAAATTTAAATGTGAAAGCACTATGAATGTATATGTCTCCTAAAACTTCAACTACTGAAACATACATAAAAAGTCATTTGATGTGACAGAAGTGGAGAATCATGTGCTCATTGAACTTAGTTAGTCAACTGTTCAGGTATTAAAGGAAAGAAAATTAAAGAATGTATATAAAATTTAGCAAACATCATTAAAGGGTATACTAAGGGATTCCTTGGAAGGCAACTCTGCTGCATATTTACATTGTTTGATGTATAAATTGTATTTTCAGACTTTTTCAAATAGTATTTGCCAATAAAACTGCAGGCTGCCTTACTGGGAGCAAGCTATGCTAAAATTACTTTTACTAGTCTGTAATCATAGTTTCAAATACTGAAGGAAACGAAACCAGCCAAAGCCAAAAAAACATGGCAGTAGAAGAAAATGACAAAAACAGAAACACTAGGCCAGGGGGTGCCTACACTTGGCTATTGTGTGACCTGATATCCCAATACATTTAAGAAAGTCAGACATTCCCTCTGATTCCTATTTATTAGTTTTAAAACTCTACTCCTTAAATAAATGTGTCATATTACATTAAAATAACAGAAAAGGAAAGAAAATAATCTTAATTAAAACACATGCATGTCCACTAATTGCCAAGGCTTGAGATACAAATATAAATTAGACATTACAGTGGAATATGTAAATTCTAAAATAAAAGCAACACACCTCTTTATCAGATATGCTACAATGACAAATCTTACTAGTTTTAGAGAGTGGACAGACTTTTAATCAATGACGGCATCTGTTCTCTGTGGGATACACAACTCTAAGAACGAACAAATGAAACACACATTTATATAAATGCATTGGTAAAATAGTATTTTATTATTTTTAATATAGTGCAGCAACATTTCATAATATTGCACACTGCTTGAATATTGGTTTCTTTACTTGGGCAAGAATATCATCCCCTCATCCCACTCCCGTCAGAATTTAAAGACACATTATCCTTTTAGAGCCCTATCATACTGGCTACTAATATGTCACATTTCAAAAAACAGTAATGCTATGACAAAAATGAATAAAGGTTAGCAACAATTACTTTGATTTCACAGTTTCGTAAAGCAGCCAGTAGACTGAATTTAAAACAAAAATCTACCAAGACTTTGTATTATACTTTTTCCATAATGCTCCTTAAGAAAATATGAAGGCAGAGATAATGCTTCTTTTAGTACCTTATCCAACGAATCAACCTTTAGTTTCCAACAGGTTTTACAGTTACCAAATGACATGTAATTTCTGTGCCAGAAGATTTTTTGCTTTTTTCTTTCTTTTTTGTTCTGGTGAACAAATTAACACTAAAAATTAAGTTCTAGAAACACCTTTCAAAATAAAACGTACAGTAAAAAAACAAAAACAAAAACCAGACCACAAGGACTTATAAATATAAAACAAACATAATTGTATAGATTAACTGGTAAAAATACAAATTCAGACCGAAAAAACCCACCAAATTTAATTAAATAAATGTAAATATGCACACACATACACATTATTTTTCCTTCCCTGAAAACTATTTTGTTTGAAAGGCTTGGCTAAGAAATTTATTAATGTGACTTTAGAGTCCTCAAAATAAAAGGCACAGCTGGTTATTTATGAATTATGCTGCATTATCAAGTCCAGTAGAATGGAAAGAGTGGAATACCCTGTCACCTGATAGTTAAGAGTCATCTGCACCAAAAAATGTTTATCTGATAAATTCACCATATTGTTAATCTTTAATATAACTACTCTGTTCTTTTGAATATACACAATGCAAAAGAAAACTTTTTATACTAAACTTTTTGACAACACTACAATAAAAAGGGTATAGATAACAATCCTCAACTTAACAATATAAAAGGGGTTTAGCAGATGTAGCCAGCACTATGGACCATTTAAACCTGTATTTTATAGCTGTAGGTTTTAAGAGTCTTGCCAAAAGCTTAGTTTCATGAATATAATTTACAAAGTATCATACTATTTAAAAGTTCTACATACATTATCTTCTTGTAACAATGCTCTGATTTCCTGCAGAAACATCATGCTATCATAAATGAACTTTTACTTTACAGAATAGACTATTAATCATATAAAAAAAATGCTTTAGTTCCCATCTTAAAAAACTTGTGAACCAATTTTTAAACAAGAACATTACATATATAATTGGAAATGTAAATAGGCTGCATAAAATGGCAATACTGAGTTCAACAGTACCATATCTGCTTAGAAAACTCTACCTAGTACTGTGAGAGTAACACACAGACAACACATGTATATGTAACCTATAAATAAATATATATAGGTTTGAAACTTATATAAAAAGTTGGAAGAGGTTTCTGTTATTACATAAAATACATACATTATATTGATCAAATTGATACAAATACAAACTGATTCATAACAAGCAGCAGTATGACCCTCTGAGTATTATTAAAAAAAAAAAATCCCATTACAGATTTCAACCATATTAAAGAATCCTTGGAAATTTTCATTAGTATCAGCCATTGGTGTCCAAACATTAAGTGCATTTAATAAAATTTAACATATAACAAGGTGATTTCTTCAGGATAATTTTGCCATTCAAGTACCTAAATTCATTATAAGAAAGAGAAACTTTTCAATTATTGCCCTCAAAAATCAGAGAAAGAATTACAGTGTTATTTTTGCTGTCAGGCACCAGCCTCATGATGGCATCCTCATCATGATGCTTTTTAAGATGAAGAGTGAAAAAATGATAAAACATTATTTAAGAAATAGTAGCATACTTGGTCAAAATACAAAATATACTGATATAACAGCATTTTTATGTTAAAAACACTAATATTCAAATGTGTGATTATTTTAATGTATACAACATGAACAGCTACTCTTTTCACAACTGCTGCATTTTAATGATCTGTACAATATTTCTTTTGTTTTATAGATAAAGTTTACAGGATTTCTGTTGTAAATTTTTGTTTTGTTTTACAACGCATAACCTACAGCACACTTATAATTTAAGATAATAGATATTTTCATATTCTAATTTAGCTTTTACATTATTTCATGCTTCTGACAGTTTTTGGTTTTGTTTTTGCTTCAAAATAGAGGTAGATTAAGTAGAGACTGGGCATGTCAGCCTCTGCCATGCATACTGCCAAAATGCAATTATCAATAGCTGTACTGCTAATGTGCAGTTTTTAAGAATGCTAGAAAAAGTCCAGAACTCTTGTGTAACATTTTACCGAAGTCCTCCTTTTAAAGCTTAAATTATTGAATAATTTAATAATGTATTATTCACAAATAGGTACAAAAAATAGATAATACAATAAAGACAAATACAGGCACACCAAAATATAAAGAAAACTACAATGAAAGGTTACATCTGAATGAAAACTTTTGTTTTGCTTTTTAAAAGTGCATCAACTTGTTTCTTTTCTGTTCTACATAAAAACATACAAAACATTCCTACATACCCTGCAACAAAGAAGAGATGCTAAACTTTTTAGCCATTAATTTTCCCCCCAGCCAAGTTAAAGTTGAAACTTCCACTGGTGCTTCCTATTGCTGACATATCAACTGTTGTTTGGTTTCATTCACCTGAGGGACAATGCTGGGGTCTTCTTTTACACCAAAGCAATGTTCAATCAGATCAAAAGCCTTTTGGTAAATTTCCTGACTTTCATGGCTTTGCAGAAATTTAATTTTATCCAGACCTATTACACAAAGCATATATACATAAACAAAATTGTTACTCAAGTTTCAAAAGATATTTAAGTCAAAATAACCAATCAATAGTATGAATGTACCAGCTGAAACTATAGAACACCTAGAAAACATAGGCAGTAAGCTCCTTGACATTGGTCGTGGGGATGATTTTTTAGATTTAACACCAAAAGCAAAGGCAACAAAGGCAAAAAATAAATAAGTGGTACTGTATCAAACTACACAGTTTCTGCACAGCAAAGAAACCAACAACAAAATGAAAATGCAATCTGCAGAATGGGAGAAAATATTTGCAAATAATTTCTCTGATGAGGGGTTGATATCCAAAATGTATAAAGGACTCATATAACTCAATAGCAAAAAAATCAAACAATCAGATTAAAAAGTGGGCAGAGGACTTCAGCATTTTATTAAAAATAATAATAATAATAATAATAATAATAAGGGAGAAATGTGGGATTCACATATAAATCAAGTATAAAAATCAAACGAATAATCATATTTTACCTGATTGTTTATAGTTCATGATGTGTGATCAAAACCGAAAGTTTCTGTGATGACTGCCCTTGCACTGTTTACCATGTAAGAAGTTATTCACTATCTAAGAACTTGTTCACCATGTAAGAACTTGTTCATTATGCTTCAGAAGATTGGAGACTGTCGAGAATTAGGCTTGGGGTTGATTAATGATTGTGCATTGAGTCCCCTATACAGAATTTTATTGTTGTTAANAAAAAAAAAAAAAAAGTGGGCAGAGGATCTCAATAGACATTTTCCAAAGGAGACATACAGATGTCCAACAGATACTTGAAATGGTGTTTAATATCACTAATCATCAGGGAAATACAAATCAAAACCATAAAGAGATATAACTTCACACCTGTTGGAATGGCTATTATTAAAAACGTAAGAGATAACAAGTGTTGGTGACGGTGTGGGGAAAAGGGAAACTTTGTTCATTATTGGTAGGAATATAAACTGATTCAGCCACTATGGAAAACACTATAGAGATTCCTCAAAATATTAAAAACAGAATTACCATATGACTCAGCTTTTCTGCCTCTGGGTATTTATCTGAAGAAAATAAAAAACAGTAACTCAAAAAGATATATGCACCCCCATGTTCACTGCAGCATTATTTACAATAGCCAAGACATGGAAGCAACCTAAATGCCCATCAATGGGTAAATGGGAAAAGAAAATGTGATATACCAGCATTTTCCAATGAACTAGAACAAATAGTTCTAAAATTCACATAGAACCACAGAAGACCCCAAAGAGCCAAAGCAATCCTGAGAAGGAAGAACAAAGTCTGGGGGAATTACACTTCCTGACTTCAAGCTATACTACAAAGCTACGATAATCAAAACACTATGCTACTGGCACAAGAACAGACCCACAGATCAATGGAAAAGAGAGAGCCCAGATATAAACCCATGCATATATAGTCAATGAATATCTGATAAAGGAGCCATGAATACACAATGAGGAAAAGACAGCCTCTTCAATAACTGGTGTTGGGAAAACTGGACAGCTCCATGCAAGAGAATGAAACTAGATCACTGTCTGACTCCATACACAAAAGTAAACTTGAAATGGATCAAAGACCTGAATATAAGTCATGAAACTGTAAAACTCTTAGAAGAAAACAGGCAAAAATCTCGTGAACATAAATGAACATGAGCAATTTTATCCTGGACACAACTTCTCAGGCAAGGGAAACAAAAAAATGTACAAGTGGGCCTACGTCAAACTAAAAAGCTCTGTATAGTAAAGGGCACCATCAGTAGAACAAAAAGGCAATGGACAAAAAAGCAAAGGCAGAAAATATTCATAAACAACTTATCTGATAAGAGGTTAACATCCAAAATATTTGAAGAACATATGAAGAACTTACTCAACACCTAAAAAACAAATAATCCAATTAAAATTAAAAACTGTGTGGAGGACCTGAACAGACATTTTTTCAAAGAAGAGATACAGATAGCCAGACATATGAAAACATGCTCCACATTGCTAATCATCAGAGAAATGCAAATCAAAACCACAATGAGATATGATCTCACACTAGTTAGAATGGCCACTATACAAAAGAAATAACAAGTGTTGGTGAGGATGTAGAGAAATAGGAACCTTCCTACACTATTGGTGGAAATGTAAATTGGTACAACTGCTGTGGGAAGCAATAAGGAGGTTCCTCAAATAAACTAAAAATAAAATACCATTTGACCCAGTAATTCCACTCCTAAGAATTTACCCAAAGAAAATGAAATCACTGATTTGAATAGATATGCACTGCTATGCTTATTTGCTGCATTATTTATGAAAACAACCTAAGTGTCCATAAACAGATGAATTGATAAAGAAGTGGTACATATACACAATGGAATATTATTTAGCCATAAAAAAGAAATCCTGCTTTTTGAAACAACATGGATGGATCTAGAGGGTATTATTATGCTCAGTGAAATAATCCAGGTGAAGGACAAATACCATATGATTTCACTTATGTGTGGAATATAAAACAAAACAGAATGAACAAAACAGCAGTAGACTCATATAAATCTGAGAACTGACTACTGGTTACCATGGGAGAGAGCTTGGGGTAGGTAGGTGGGGTGGGTAAGGGAGATAAAGTGGTGAAAAAATTCTCAATCATAGTATAAGTTGGTCAGGGGGATGGTAGGATAACATGGAAAATACAATCAATGCTTCTGTAACATTTTTCTATGTTGAAAGACAGTAACCACACTAGTGGGGGTGAGGATTTAGAAATATGGGTAAGTTGTACCATTGTGTTGTATATTTGAAACCAATGTAAGACTGTAAATCAACAATATGTCAGCAGAAGAAAAATGTGCTATATATATATATTTATGTATATACATAGAGAATGGAATATTATTCAGTCATAAAAAGGGATGTATCTTGCCATTTGTGACATATTGGATGGCCCTCAAAGGTATTATGCTAAAAGAAGTAAAGTCAAAGACAAATACTATACCATCTCACTTCACATAGAACCCATTTTAAAAAACCCAAAAAAGGCAGAGGCGGAGCCAAGATGGCGGCGTGAGTAGAGCAGTGGAAATCTCCTCCCAAAAACACATAGATCTATGAAAATATAACAAAGAAAACTCTTCCTAAAATAGAGACCAGAGGACACAGGACAACATCCAGATCACATCCACACATGCAAGAACCCAGCGCTTTGCGAAGGGGGAGAGGAAGGCCACAAACCAACAAGAAGGGAAGCTCTTCCAGCGGTCACTCGTACCAACTCGTACTATCTCTATCTCCATGAAAAGGCAAAACTACAGGCAGACAAAGATCACAGAGACAACACCTGAGAAGGAGACAGACCTAACTAGTCCTCCTGAAAAAGAATTCAAAATAAAAATCATGAACATGCTGACAGAGATGCAGAGAAAAATGCAAGAGCAATGGGATGAGATGCAGAGAAAAATGCAAGAGCAGTGGGATGAAATGCAGAGAAAAATGCAAGAGCAGTGGGATGAAGTCCGGAAGGAGATCACAGATGTCAGGAAAGAGATCACAGAAGTGAAACAATCCCTGGAAGGATTTATAAGCAGAATGGATAAGATGCAAGAGGCCATTGAAGGAATAGAAGCCAGAGAACAGGAACGTATAGAAGCTGACATAGAGAGAGATAAAAGGATCTCCAGGAATGAAACAACACTAAGAGAA